ATAGCTAACATTGCTAGCACAGCATTGATTTATAGCTAAATTTGCAAACATATATTCATAGCTAACATTGCTAGCACAGCATTGATTTATAGCTAAATTTGCAAACATGTATTCATAGCTAACATTGCTAGCACAGCATTGATTTATAGCTAAATTTGCAAACATGTATTCATAGCTAACATTGCTAGCACAGCATTGATTTATAGCTAAATTTGCAAACATGTATTCATAGCTAACATTCCTAAAGTAATATAGATTACAGTTAACCTTTATAGATAACCTATTTCTTAGCACACCTTTACATAATATGTACTCCTCTTATCACATAATAATAAGCCAATATCAGTAACTAAATCTTCACTTGTCCTATTGATATGCTTTTTTATTTCACATTTAGTGTGTATCTAAAAACTAAAATTATTTTGAATAATAAGATAAAGAATGTCTAAAGTTCATTCAAAGATATACTGGATTTACCTCTGCAAGTGAACCATCATTTGCAGCAGTCACTAAAACTTCAAACAAGGCTGCAAGCTCAGTTCCAGAAATTGGTTTATCTAAAGAAGTTAACACATTTCTCAATTAAAATACTTAAAGAAATACTTACAAACAGCTGAATACACGTATTGAGGACTTTATCGTGCAAAATTTAAACTTTCAATTCCAAAACAATTAATAAAATTTATTGTTCTTGATAATGAAAAAAATAGTGAAATATATAATTATGAACAAACCAGAATTGAAATGCACATTTCCAAAATATTACATAGAAAGAAACAAAAGTGTTAAATATATTTACAGCTTTACACTTTACTAGCAAACTATTTAGGAAATAACTAATAGAAAAAGTGTTAAAAACGTGCAAAAAACAAAACCAATTCTTCTGCAGTATTATTGTATCTTACAAAAGTCACAAATACATTGTAATGTCCATCAACAAATACATATTCACTTCTAATACCTGTAAAATGAGTATTCTTAATTAAATAAACTATACTAATTATTAACCTATGGTAAACTAAGAAACAGACCATTATTGTTTACTTTCAGCCACTTACGATTTTTTTCTTTTGGTATTAATTCCTTCTTCAGTTTTTCTAATAAAGAATTTCGTTCTTCTTTGTATTCTTCAGTAAGATCTTCTTCCTGTGCCTGTGGAATGATTCACAGAAATGAAGCCTAAAGATCAATGGAGAAGTCAAACTTACATTTATCAAATATATTCAACAGCACAATGTAGATAACAAAGAAAGAAATAATACAACTATATTAAGAGTAAAAACACAAAAACAGACATTCGTTGACACAAGGAAAGGAAAAATCTATTATTAATTACAGCCGATTAGTTTCCATTGTTAAGTTGAATAAGAAAAAAATGCTTTTGAGGAACTGTAACCTTCTTGATTGTGCTACAATGCTTGCATTCATAGAATTCTATGAAGATTGACCATGCTTCAATCATTATGATAAATTAATAATATAGAATGAAGTATGAACTTCCATGCCTAATAACACTTAAAGACAAACAACATCCAAAATATGCTTTGGCCATCCCAGAAATCTGACCCGAATCCCATTGAACAGCTCTGGGACATTTTGAAACACACCTTGAATAGTAGATGGAATATGCTCATTACAAAAAAAATAGCAAATGTTATAATCCTTTCTCAAATAAACAAATAAATAAATAAATTTATAAACAAATAAATACTACTAACCTAAAAGTTCAACATATTAAGTGAATACTTCCTTTTTGTTCTTTAAAACAATTTTTAACAGTAAGTTCACTGCAGCTATAATGATTAAAGCATTAATTTTGAATGTTTCAAGTGTGGATTAGAATAATATGGGAAAACATACAAGTAAACAAGGCACTGAAAAAGAGTCAAGTTTTTAGTATATATTACTAGGTGATAAATTTGTACTTCAAATATGATGCGTGTACTAAAATTATTTGACAACTGAAACATGGATATAAATGGGAGTGAATCTCTGAAATCCTACATATGAAGTGTGTGTGCTATGCCATATGAGCCAAAACCTATAGATCTTTTTCACGTTTGCAGCATTATTAAGTAGAATACTACATATATTTGTTTGTTTGAGGGCTATCTGCACTAGCCATTCCTAATTTAGCAGCGTAAGACTAGACGGAAGGCAGCTATTCATCACTACCCACCGCCAACTCTTTTACCAACAAATAGTGGGATTGACTGTCACATTATAATGCCCCATGGCTGAAAGGGCGAGCATGTTTGGTGTGATGGGGATTCAAACCCACGACTCACAGATTGTAAGTCCAGCACCCTGACCACCTGGCCTCACTATATATATGAGAAGGGTATATAATTTAAATATTTAAGTTCATTAAATACTGCTGTTGTTGTATTATGTAGTTAGATACAAATGAAACAAAAGCCTACTAAGCAGAATATAGTAAAGAAGTATAAAAATATTGAATGAAATATATCAGTTTTTGGTATAAACACCTTGCCTTTCTAAATAATCACCATCCTTAAACTTGAGATTTTTTCTTGATCAAACTATTGATAAAGTGACATTATAAGATAGTGAAGTTTTAAAATTATGGCATCAAGAAGTGTAGAACTCAACTAGTCACTAGTTCACTTATTTTTATTTCTGTAATGGTATCAACTCCTTTACCACCAATAACAGACATGGAGTAATACCTTATTCCATTAACAGGTAAACTCATTATTCACATACACAGTGTATTTAAACTTTCGGTGCAATTGTAGATTTATATGTATGTTTTGGAATTTATATTGAGATGTAATGGTATTGCATTATTTGTAAACCACGGAAAGGTAAAGATTAACATAATTTGTTTCCTTGTGTGTTTATGTTACTGAAGTAATTGTCTTTAAATTTGATGTTATAAACATCATAGTTTTGCACTCATATAGAACAATGTGCCTTAAACAGTCTCCACTTTTGCACTCGTATAAATTTAAAAGTACCACTGTACATTTATCCAACAGGAATAACGGGTTTCCATGTGAGCTAACACGCATGGACTGACTGACAAGTATTGTTCTTTTATTACACAGATAAAGTTCAAGAAAGATATTCTTTGTAGATCCATTCATTACAATATTGATTTCACTACTAAAGGCTTTAACTGTCTTTCTTACCCGTGAGAGATCTGTCAAGAGCCTTTTCTTAATGGCAGGAAGGAAGAGTGTGTGGCAATCAACAGACTTGAAAATATCTAAATCAAAAACCCCAAAATTACTTTTTTCTGTCTGCATACACTAAATTTCTATTAATTTCATGCTTGATAAACTTTATAATGATTAAAACCTTATTTCTGCCAATTAATTTGTAATTTATGGTTTGAATATCAAAACACTACTTATTCAGTGCACAACTTTGGAAGATTCAACTTTTTTTACTTCACTCTCAACTTACCTTATTAGAAAATTCAACACTAACCAGTGTATTAACTCTTTCAATACGGGGTCGATCAATGTTATGATCATGTAACCATTTTGTGCTTGTCATAATTTTCATGCTATAAATTTTAAAGTAGTAAGCGAACGTTAAAGAAATTTGACAGTTTATCAGTAAACATCACAATGCTTTCATATGCAAAATATCTAATTTCTTTATTAAGTTGTAAAGTATGTAAAGCAATGTTTCTCTCATGTCTTTTTTTCTTTTCACATCTTGCCTATCTATCATGCAAAGTAATTTTCATTTTAAGATTAAAAAATACTTTAATGCATCACAAAATTTTGAAATTTAGTATGCGAAATCTTCATAATGTCCAGATAATTATCAAACATTTCTTAAGAAAATTTTTTATATTTTATCTGTTATTTTCAGTAATTAATCTCTGTATGGGTTTGGTAGATTTGAAGGATCTTGCAACCACCATAACAAATTAGGAAATAAGCAAATTATGCTTCTTTCATTCTAGAATGAACATAAATTATAACATG